AAGGTACAGGGATGTATTTATAGCACTGTGAGAGCCAGGGAGCAGCAGGGACAGGAGGGGGGAGGATGGTGCCCGAAAAGATGTGTGCGGCACAAGATGAGACCTCTGAGGAGCACAGGAACAGAAAGATGCTGGTAAGGGAGAGGTGGTGGGGACAGAAAGGAGGGGAGCAGCCCCTACGGGAGCAGGGCAGAGGGGGTGTTGGACAGCTGGGAGATGTGCGACATAGTTCTGTGTGTCATATTATCTGATGCCGTGACTGTCTGTGTGCTGGGGGGGCGGTCAGGGCAGGAGTTTATGCTGCCTGTGTGCCCAGACGCAGGCTTGTTTGCATTATCGTGTTGAGCTTTGCTCGCTGCTTTCCTATGCTGGTGGGCGAGTGGCTTTGCTGATACTCCTGTGCTCAAGCCAGGCCTGAGATAGCAGATGGACGCCAGACATGCCCCACGGGCTGCTTGTGTTGTGAATGTAAGCAGCTTTCTGGCAATGAGAGGAAGTGGAGGGTCTGCCTGTGCTCTGGGGCTGGGCTGGGCTGGGTCGTGCAGATGCGGATGTGGCGGCTGTGCCTGGCCAGAGGGGAACAGCTGAAGGAAGGGCCGGCTGGGAGGGAGCTGGACAGCTTGTGCTGGAGGCTGTGACACAGAGAGGGCTTCCCCCCGAAGGATCCCAGCACAAGCTCCATCATTTCTGGGGTTCGCTCCAGACCTGGGCAAGGGCCTATTCTTCAAATTTTCTGTGGTCCCATGGTTTAATTTTAGCCCTTTGAATATACCCAGCAAGGCCCCATTTATCCGCAGGCTGAATGGTGAAGTCACACAAGATCTGGATTGGTTTAAACAACACATTCACCACAGAGCTGAGGAGGGAACTGGGAAAGACAGGAGCAATGGAGGCTGTGCTGTGTACCCTGCACTGGAGAACACCTCAGTACCAGGGATGGCTTCTCCTTTTTGCAGCAGATCCCAAATGTTTCTACCCTCAACAGGAAAAGGATGTGAACCCACCAGTGCTTTGCTCCTTGGCTAGAACTCGCAGGGAGAGCACTGCCTCTCAGAGAGCCTTGGCCACCTCAGCTGGGTAGTGAAGGATGTGAGGTGGTGGTGTGATGTCCACTGGACCAACAAGCATGTGCCACAGGAGGGTACAGACATGTTTTGCTTGGCCTGGGGTGCTTTGGTCTGTGACAGGGCCCAAAGGTCAGCCATGTCTCTTGCCAGGCACCACTGTGGTGCATGGGGCACATTCCCAGGTGTGTGGGAGCAGCACACCAGTGGGAACAAAGGCAGCACATGGAGGAGGCAGTGGGGAGAGGGGCTCCTTATGCCAGAGCTGCCGGCTTGGCTGACAGCTGGGCTGGCAGGGGAAGCACAGTGCAGCGACCGGCTGTCCAAGCCTGTGTCAGCTTGATGGGAGCTGGCTCGTTAGGGTCAGGAGCATGTGGAGGGGGCTGTGGTGTCTCCAGGAACTCCCTCAGCACACGTCTCTCATCTAGTTAATGTATTTTAGCTCTTCACAACCCAGAAAGCCTCCTGCCTCCCTCAGCAGCCCTCCCAGCAGGGCTCTGCAGCATGTCCATGGCTGGGGACAGGGCTTTACCCTTGTGATTCTGGTGCCTGCCACTGCAAGGGAAGCTCTGCTCGCGTCCAGCACTGACCTCCCTTGCTGGGAAGGGAAATGACCACATAAGTCATGGGTAAAGGGCAGTGTCCTGTGCCAGCTGGGATTTGATCATTTCAAATGGGATTCCACCAATCTGTGGGGAGGTGACCGGAGGTGCAGTAAATCCATGCTTTCTTGGCTGGGCTGAACAGAAATGGGAGATCAGGTTCAGCTGGTTACACTTGGCTGAAGTAAGTGGGGTTGCACCAGAGCTCAGCTCCCTAGTATCTCCATTGTCAGCCCTTCGTCATCCAGGTTAGAAACCAAAGAAATAAGAGAAACACACCCCAAGCCCCAGTTGTAGCTTAATAGCACGTTATTAGTACTATGTCCTGTGTCAAGTCACTGGAGAGAGTAGGTGATCGTTGTCTTTCCAGAGTCTGGTATAGTGTGTGGCAGGTCACTTCCTGCTCTGCCCAAAGCTTGGCTGTATGAGAAGCATAAGGGGAAGGATGTTGTATATTTGTGCCACTCGCTGTGCAACACTGGTCCTTGCACTGGGAGGCACAGGCTGTTACATGTACCTGTGGGCTGTGTCCATGGATGTGCTGCATGGCGAAGCAAAGCAGCTGGGAGGCAGCCCTGGCACTGAGGGACACAGGCTGGAAATGGTCTTTTTTTTCTTGTTTTCTTGATCTTGCCGTTATCACATTCCTTACCTTGTGTTTACCCTTTACTGAGCCTTTTGGGTGGCAGTTTACAGTGTCCCCCAGGCAGGCACTGCTTTGCTGCATGCAGCTTATCGAAGCTGCCATCACTTTGAGCCCGGAGTCTCACCACTGCTTACTGCTCACTACCTCCAGCCCTTAGAGCTGCCAGTGGAGTGCTTCGAGCACTCTCTAATTCTCCTCACTTCTCTGAGTTCATTTGCTCTGTCCCTTCCTGCCTTTCTGGGCTGTGGGGAGGTGAAGCAGCATTGCTTCAGCCACGTTAAGAACAGAGCCCACAGTCACTCAATCTGTCAGGGCTAGAGTGACCAAGTCTGAGACCCAAACCAAACCTAAACTTCTAGGAGGCAATGGCCATGCTAAGGAAAAGAGTCCTTGGGCCACGATGACCGTCAGCCATGTCTGTCCTGTCTGAGTGGGCAGATACAGAGCAGCCATAAATTGGGAAGGAGGAGATTGTGCCCTCCCTGCTGAATGTCCCCACTGGGACTTTGCAGTTTGCATGGCTAAGGATGCCCGAGGATGCTCACCCATGTGAACATGCAGCCAGAGGCTGCAGAGGGCTGCTCAGGAGCTGCATTGCCCACTCGTAGTATAGAAATAGGTGGGAGTCAGCATGGCCTTAAGCTCGACACACTGGATTGTGGTTTGTGTTTCTTTGAGAGCGTGCCCCAGGAATGGAGATAAACAGAGCAACAGAGGTCTTCCCTGCTGCCCATGGAGAACCAGTGCCAGAGAGCTGTGGGGTGAGGACAGCCATGTGCTTGAAGGTATCCATGGCCAAGTGGTGGCTGAGGCTGGTTTTGAGGAACTCCTGGCTCTGTGGATTTGCCTGTAGTATAAAACCAAGGGGTATACTTATTTTCAGTGATGCTGAAAAGTGGAGTCTGTGATGTCCCTCGCTCAGGCATTTGTGAACAGCTGCTTCCCCTTGGGTCTAGGTTGGAAAGTATGTGAGAAGGGAAGCGTTTGCCAGGGTTGGTGTGCACCTCCCTCTGCGATAGGGCCTGGGGAGGGAATGCACTGCATTGAGGGTGTGGGCTGTGAAAGAGCAGGACCAGGGGTGCTCAGGTGGGTGGATGGATGGGCCCACGGTTACCCACAGCCACCTGAGCTGTGAGCAGCAGGCTGTGCGCTGAGCCCAGGCTGAGGGCAGTACCTGGAGCTGATCTGTGAATCCACAGGTGAGCTGTGTTCACCTTTCAGGATGTACCCTGCACGAGGAGGGTGTGTGCCCTTAGGACACGGCCCAGGCTGCGTGTGTGCTCCTGGCTGTGGGATGCATGCCATGTGCTTGTAAAACACACCTTTGGTCATGTCAGTCCTTGTGTGCACTTAGCCTGCTTGTGCAGACCACGTGCCACATTTGTGGGGTGGCTGTGGCTTTTGTGGTGTAAGAGACTGCTCAGTGACAGGGGGCTGTGTTTGGAGGGTGGTTAGGCAGTAGGTAATGCTCCAGTAATACTATATGTAATACCCTCAATAAGAGCATCTCACCTGTATTATCAGTACTTCTGCATCTTCCCACTTCCCATGTTCCTTCTCTTCAGAAATAACACCAGAGATTATTCAGGATTTCCTCTTACTCAGCCAGGAGTGGCTGTGACACAGCAAGAAATAATCCCCTCTCAGGTCAAGCCAAAGCCAAGTCACCGTGCCTTTAGGCACGGCTCAGGACACCACAAGCCGTGGGGTGCTCATTACAGAGAGCTCTCCATCATGTACTGCACGCATCTCTGGAGGGACAGATGTAAAAATGACTCTGAAAGACCTGGGGAGAAGTGGCATTTGGTGACCCTGCTGTGAAGGGAGCCTGCAACTGTGCAGGAGAAGCAGAGTTAGGATGGTTGTGTGTTAGTAGCAGCCCCAGGTGTGCTCTCTGGTTGGAATGGTAGGATGTACCTTTTCTCTTGTGCTCTCTGTGCTGGGAGGCTGCTGTGATCTGCCGTGTTGGTGGGTGAGAGCAGCCAAGCAGGGCTGTGGCTGGGAGGAGGTGGCCCATCTGTGGGAAGGGCAGAGGTCCCTGAGCGTAGAGGATGTGTGTGCCCTGCCCTGCACCACTGCCAGGGCAGGGACCAGCCTCTCCTCCAGCCCTTGGCTCTGCCTCAGGAGCTTTGTGAGCCCAACTCCCTGTTGTTGTGTGAGGCTCGAGCAGGAGGGGTGGCGCACCCTGACCTGCTCCCACCCACCTCTGCCCTGCAGGACCATGAGAAGCAGTATGTCGGCTTTGCCACTCTGCCAAACCAGGTCCACCGGAAATCTGTGAAGAAGGGTTTCGACTTCACCCTGATGGTTGCAGGTGAGACTGTGCATGGATGTGGCTGGGCCACACGGTGGGTGCATGGAGGTGACCAGCTCTCTTTGCTTCCCTTTATGTACTCCCTTAGGAACTGGATGCTCCCCTTGTTCTGGTCTGGTCCTTGTCTCGGATCTTGCTTTGCTCCCCAGCCTTTGTTGCAGTTCCCCAAGGAGGGATGGGCCCGTCATGACCCACTCTAGCAAGCTCCTTCTCCAACAGAGTGGCTGGTCTGGGTGGTGAAGGCAGAGCCGGCCAGGGTCCAAGGGAAAGGAAGGAGGGGGGCATGGAGGAGCTGGGAGATGACGTTTGTACAAGGATTGAGACATCTTGCAGCAAAAGTCCTCCCACTGCTTGAAAAATTTAATGCTGATAAACAGCTTGTGACAGCTCATCTCTCTCACTTCCTCTGGCTCAGGATTCAAAGCCTTGTTCAGAGTTTGATTTGTAAGTCAATTAGTGGGTCATGTCGCTTGCTTCTCCCTCCTCCCCTTTGCGCTCTGTCAATTAGGAGAGTCGGGTCTGGGCAAATCCACGCTGGTGAATAGCCTGTTCCTGACAGACCTCTACAAAGACAGAAAGCTCCTCAATGCAGAGGGTAAGTTGGGGACAAAGCGGGTGAATGTTCTTGTGCCTAGAGATCTGGACTATCCTAAGGAATAGTACTTCGGTTCCTGTAGCAGCTACAGGCTTGGCTGGATTCCAGCCCTGTTGTTTGTTGTTGCCCTGCACTCCTTTACTGGCTACAGGGGCACTAGTATTTGAGCAAAAGGGGTTTGGCTGTAGGGCCCTTCTGTCCTATACAGGGAAGATGAAGCTGCAGAGCAGCATTAACACTTTGGGTTGAGTTGTTGAGATTTGTCTTCTGTTATTGGATGCTGGAGTGTGGTAGAGATTCCCCTTCCCAAGTGACTAGACAAGATGTTCAGAACAGCTGGGCTACAAGCACTTCAGAGCTGTGCATATCTTCGCAGTCTGTCTGCCTTCTGCTGGCCTCCCACAGTACCACTCCCTTGAGGTTCCCTAGAGGATGATCAGGTTTTTGAACCCCATGTTACTCTGTGCTCAGTGATAAGGAAGGAGCCGGGTTGTTGTGGGTGTGAGTGGGGATCCCCAGCACTACTCCCTGGCTTTAACTCACGTGTTCCTGTTGAAAGAGAGAATCAACCAGACGGTGGAGATCGTCAAGCACACGGTGGACATTGAGGAGAAGGGTGTCAAGCTGAAGCTGACCATAGTGGACACACCAGGCTTTGGAGATGCTGTTAACAACACTGAATGGTGAGCAGGCCACCACTGCCTTCCTCTTAGTCCTTGGCCACATCTGTTTCCTCACAGGAAAGGGGGTCTGGCAGTGGGAAGGGGATGATGCTGCCTCATAGTGCCTAGGAGACACTGTCCTGTTAAACACATGATTTTGTTTTGGTTGATTTGCCCATCCCAGCTGGAAGCCCATCACCGACTACATTGACCAGCAGTTTGAGCAGTATTTCCGTGATGAGAGTGGCCTGAACCGCAAGAACATCCAGGACAACCGCGTGCATTGCTGCCTCTACTTCATCTCGCCCTTCGGGCACGGGTGAGTGCCCTCACTCTGCAGCCAGCGTGTGGCTCAGCCCAGAGGGAAGACCCTTGGATTGCCCTGTAAGACTCGTGTGTTGGTAGGGCTGTTGGCACAGAAGAGCCGTCTGGATGCTCTCCCTCAGCTGAGCATCACACCACCTCCCTCCCTGTTGCTGGCATGACAGGCTGCTCTGATCAGGCAGAGCAGATCTCTCCCAGGCCTTTGTTGTGTCGACAGCCTTGCAGCCTGTTTTGGAAATCAGGAGAAATAATGGCATGCAGACTTGCATCTTCCTGTCTAGCTAAGCCTGACTGATGGGTAGGAAAGGGAATTTTGAGCTGCCTTCAGTCCCTGACCCTTGCTGGCTTGCGTGCCAGCCTGGAGCAGCTGGAGGGGCCGCATTGGCTGCCTGCAGCACAGGGCACCAGGAGGGAGGCTCTGGGCTGTGGCCTGGACAGTATTTACCTTGGAACAGAATAAATACCTGGCCTGTGTCTGAGACATTCAGTGGCTAAAATCTGAGACAGCTTTCCTGAGGATACAGATCAAGCTGAGGGCTGTCCTTTTCCCTTCATGCTGGGTGGGTGGGAGAGGCTGGAGGGGAAGCTGCTTAGTGTGTCCTTGCTAATAGTGTCCCTTCTCATCTCTGCTGCAGGCTGAGACCTGTGGATGTTGAGTTCATGAAGGCTCTGCATGAGAAGGTCAACATTGTGCCCCTGATTGCCAAAGCTGACTGCCTGATCCCCTCTGAGATCCGGAAGCTAAAAGAGAGGGTGAGATGCTCTTTCTTTCTACAGGTTTATACCTAATGTGGTGGTAGGGATGGGCTGAGGAGGGAGGAGACATATATATATTTATATATATGTATGTATATATATACATATGTATATAGTGTGTGTGCATATGTATATATACACACAGTACCTGCAAATCTGATTGCAGCAGTGCTCTGCTGGAGAAGGGAAGTGGTGTCTGCAGAGAGACCAGCTCTGGAAGAAACAGCAAATCCTTTTACCATCTGTAGGCTACAGCAAACCCATGGTAGCACAAACAGGGAATAAACCCAGCATTTCTGTATTGCTGAATGTTGTGTCCTTTGGTTTTGTCTTGCACCGACACAGATCCGGGAAGAAATTGACAAATTTGGCATTAAAGTGTACCAGTTTCCTGAGTGTGACTCAGATGAAGATGAGGAGTTCAAACAGCAAGACAGAGAGCTGAAGGTAAGGAACCTGCTCAGCGGGCTCTGGGAAGTCAGGCTCATGGGTGTGTAGGTTGCTCCAGGAGTCAGAGCTGCCTTACGTGTGCCAAAGGCCTGTGCTACTGATACCCAAGGGACAGCCTAAGTTGGCTCACGTGGTAGGTGGCCTGGAGAAGGTGCTGATGTCCTTGCCATGAAGTCGAGTGACATGAAGACATGGCAGTTCTGCTGTCCCACCAGACAATGTCAGTCGTTCCTCAGTCTTCCCCAGCCTGTGTGTTTCAGATGAAGGCTGTGTTGTACAGTATTTGCAAACACCTGTTTCTGAGTGATTCCATGAGAAAGGAAGAGTGATTTGTGAGTGATGAGGCACCACTGTGACACATTAGTTGCATGGGGGGAGACAACATGATCATATGGGCCTGTCTGGAGGCCCCAGCAGCCCAGGCCTGAACCTCTCCCAAGCTGAGCCAGCCCTGTGTGTGCATGCACTGTGGCCTTCTTTCTGCTGTCAGAGAGGTGCAATGGGTTTGGCTTCCTGAGCAGAGAGGAGCAAGCCTGTGCATCCCTGACTGGACAAGCTTGTGGCCTTCATTGTCCCATTTGCTTGGTGTCCCAGCCTCTCTGTTCTGGCTTCCTTCTGGAGGAAAGAAGGGATGCAGGCACTGGCAGAGACACAGCTTCTCTCAGGAGGTCAGGCTGGGAGATACCAGTGCCTTAGGCTTTCTTCTGCAACTGGCTCGTGGATGTCCCTGTGGGGGTAGACCTTTCCTACCAGCACCTGCCTCCTTAATCCTGAGTTTAAACCCATGGAGGAGGGATCTGTGGGCAGCCGTGGGCCGAGCTGGGCTCAGCAGTGCCTCTCATTCCAGGAGAGTGCTCCCTTCGCCGTCATCGGCAGTAACACTGTGGTGGAGGCGAAAGGCCAGCGAGTCCGTGGACGGCTCTACCCTTGGGGCATTGTGGAAGGTAAGCATGTGGTGCCTGGGAGAGGGGCAGGCAGGGGTGGGGGAAGGACAGGCAGATACTTGTAATGAATGGCAGGGGAGACCACCTCTACACAGCCATGACTGGCTGTGACACCTTTGGCACATGGCAGGGGACAAGGCATGGTAGAGACAGAGGCACTGAGACTGTCTCAGGAGGTCTGTTATGGGAATGCAGCAGTCACCCTGCCTCTGAAGCCATGACAGACTGAAGAAGAGAGGCTCCAGTGTGAATGGAAGAATGCCTGGGCTTTAATGCACAAGGACAGGGCTTCTTACTAGGGGGAGTGGCTGGGCATTGCCTAAGCCACTGCCCTCAACCAAACCGAATCATACACCTTCCTGCATTCCATCCTTTGCTGCTGGTCCTGTGTGTGCTGGAGTTGCTGGGATGGATGCTGTGCTGATGCACAATGTGTTTGTCCCTTACTATCTTCCTTTCTAAAGGGAGATGTTTCATAAGGTTTCTAGGCAGAGTAACCCTGGAATGGCTTTTGCTGCTGTTGCTGACTCCCCCGTGCTGGTGCATTGCTTTAAGCTCTTGCAGCTTTAGATCCCAAAAGCTTGTGTGTGCACTCGTGGGCTGGTGCCTGCTGCTTGAGCTGCCCAGCCCTGGCTCTGCTCTCTCGCTGGGTCCGGAGGGGGCTGTGCCTGTAGGGGTGCTGACATTTGGCAGTGGGATCAACTTTGTGAGAACCTGGGCCTGACACAGCGGCTTCCCCCAGCCCTGCAGAGAGGTGAATGGAGATCACCACAGCAGGCACACAGCTGCTGAACACAGCACTACCCTGTGGAGTCCTGCAGTGCTGCCTGGAGCCTACAGGGGCCTTTCGGTCAGTCCTAAAGTCTGAGGAGATGAGCAACCACACTGACTGTGCTCATTGTGGTTATAACAATGATATCCCATGTGCCTGGGAGCAGCATCCTCTTTCAGGGCTCTGCTGTATATGCTTAATTGATCCTCTTACCCAGAAAAAGTCCTGGGAACACAGTGACTTGAGCAGCCTGGCCTCAGCATTGAGAAGCTCAGAGCATCATCGAGGCCTGCACCAGGGCCAGGGGCAGAATGCGGAAGGAGCCCTGGGTGGGGGGTTTAGTCCAGTGTGGGTGCTAGGAGATGAGAAGGGTCTCCCTGGAGAGGGCTGTGAGGTGGGACATCCGAGCACTCTCCCATTGTTGCTTCCCCAGTGGAAAACCAGGCACACTGCGACTTTGTGAAGCTGCGGAACATGCTGATCCGGACACACATGCATGACCTGAAGGACGTCACTTGCGATGTCCACTATGAGAACTACCGAGCTCAGTGCATCCAGCAAATGACCAGGTGGGTCCCCACAGCTTCATCCAGAGGTGGCAGGGGTGTCTCAGTGCAGAGCTGGGGTTGTGCTCACAACAGCTTGTTCATCAGGAGGCTGTGGGTCTGCTGGGGACATGATGGGCTGCAGCCTGGAGAATGGCATTAGGGCGTAAAATAGCAAATCCAAGCATGTCTCTCTCAGCCTGAACCTGTGGTGGGAATGCTTCTGAGAATCCATGTTCCTGTCTGAGGATTCCCCATGTAGATCTTGAGAAACAAGCCTAGAGATTGTTTTGAAGAGCTCTTCCTAGCTGTGGGTGAAATAAATCCAGCCTAATGGAACGGGATAAATCATCTCTCCGGTGGGTGATAGCTGTGTGCATTGCCAGAGAGGAAGGCATTCTGTAGTCTGTGGTTCTGTCCAGATGACAGCATGACCCTTGGGATGCTGTTGTTTCTCAGACAACAGAGCCCAGGCAATTAGCAATACTCTTAACACATCTCCAAAGACATCTCTGCATTGTCTTCCCATTGCATTTGATTCTCTGTGGTTTTAGTCACACTGATCAGAAAATAGAAGAGAGAACACTCACAGGCTTCTATTGACTGCAATACTGGTGGCGCATTTTAGGTTTAGTAGGTCTTGGCTCATTTGTTGTAAACCATCCCCTTCACTTCCTGCCTGAACTGGCTGGTAGCTCTGTGCTGCCACGTTGCAGAAATGGCTGCACTTCACCAAGGAGCAGTCCTGCATGCGTGCAAACATGCAGGTTGGCGCATTCTGTTCGCACACAGTGTATCTCGGTACTTCTGCATAGCAGACGAGCCTGTCTTTTTCAACAGTGAGAACAGGGAGTCCCAAAATAACTATGTTAAATGCTAGAGATCTGAGAGAAGTGTCACAACTGCTATTTAGGTAGGCTGTGTATCTATTAAAAGAAGAGCATGATGAAAAAGCAGTTACTCAGCTTAAGAAAAGGTTGGTTGGTGCCGTTTCTCAGGCATGGTTAGTTCCTTGCCAGTGAACAAGTCTCATAAAACCAGACCGTGGCCATTTCTAGCAGTGGAATAAGGGTCCTCTAGGGAGACGTTTTGGGAGGAGGTCACGAGCTCCATGCACTGGAATGGACTCAATAATGAACCAATGGCGACTCCAAGTGGTGACCGCCTGCAAGTGGCATTTTGAATTCTCAGTTTCAGTGCAGGCATCTTTGGTCATTACCCCCCTGTCCTCTGACTTCTGTAAGCAAGTCGCCTCCTTCCTCTGTTCCCAGCCTGCACTCATGTGCACCCCAGCCCTCATCACAATGTTGCTGTGCCATGCCTGTGTGTTTCATGCCTTCCACCTCCTGATTATGATGGCAGGCTTAGTTATCAGACTTGTAGCGATTAAACTGCTCCTCTGGTTTTATTGCTCTGGAAAGAAAAGGGCCATGGTGAGCATATGGTGCCTTAGGGATGCTGATAGGGATGCCAGATGAGCCAAAGGAGACCAGATAAATTGTCTGTAAATGTCTGCTAAGCTAGCCAATGCAGCTACAGAAGGTGGTCAGAAATGTCAGCCCTTGCTGTGTTTGCTGTCAGTGTGAGCTTGCTTTGAATTTTCTCTGTTAGCTACCCACAAGCTTCATTTTGAAAACTTTCATTGACTTTGGTCTCACCTGAGTCCATCCTGCACCTTTGGGCTGCCCCACAGCCCCTCCACGTGGCTGGGTGCATGCTGCTGCATTGCTGCCAGGTCTGCTGTCATGAGTGACAGCCATCACACGGGGACACCAACACCGACCAGCCTGAGCCATAACTGACTGCGTTTCTCCCTTCTCTCCATCTCTCTAGCAAGCTGACTCAGGACAACAGGATAGAAAGCCCGATTCCTATCCTGCCTCTCCCAACACCAGACACTGAGACAGAGAAGCTGATCAAAATGAAGGATGAGGAGGTAAGAGCCATTTCTGCCTTGGTCTCCTTGGTGTTGGAGCTGGAATATGAGGACTTTCTCCAGGATTTCCTCATGGAGACTGTCCTGGGGCTTCCCACTCTTGCCTCCTACCATCGTGGGCTCCTGCTGTGGAGGACAGGGTGTGAAAGCTGTGCCTTCCTCTCTCAGGGAAATGTGGTTCCATTCCACCTCAGATACAGATGCCTCTGTGCTCAGGCAGGAGTTAATACTACCCGAGGGATCCCTTTGTCAGCTCCAAGGGACTGTGCCCAGTGCAGATGACCATCTTCAGGCCACAGCAGATCCCTTTTTGACTTTCTCTTTTGTGTCTCATACAGTTACGGCGGATGCAAGAGATGCTGCAGAAGATGCAGCAGCAGATGCAGGATCAATGAAAGGCAGGCACTCGGAGGGCAGAGGGAATCCCCCAGTGACCATCTGAGGCCTGGCAAGAGCTGTGGACGTTTAGAAAAGGTTTTCTGTTGTATAGAGACTTGTGGGCAAGAGCTGCACCCGCACCCTCTAATTTATTAGCAGCAGTGCTGGCTTTGCGGTCAGCTGGATTGTGGAGAAGGCTGTTCACTTAACAGTTTACTGATGTGTATTTCTTTTTTAATAATTGTTCATTCTTTTCTTCTTTTTCTTACTTTTTTTTTTTTTTTTTTTTTTTTTTTTTAAAGAAAATAGCCTGGGAAGTCTCTAAGACATCCTAAAAAAGAAAAGAAAAAGATGTCCCTTTTCCATGTACTAATCTCTTGTTTGGGAATGCTCTGGTATTTAAAGTCCTGGTTTCTCTGGTGTACGAACTTGACTATCTGTGTCAATGCACGTAAATGTTTACTCCCAACTGCGGTGCTGTGCCCCCCCTTCCCCATTCCCCTTGTCTGGGGCCAGCACAAGCATTGCAAAGGCAGCCATATCCTCCTGTGAGTTTGACCTGTGCTGATCGGGCTCCTCAGCCTGGGGACAGCTCTGGCCCAGACAGCTGGGGCTGGGGATTTCTCTGTGCACTGAGCTGCTCAGGGGTCCTGGTGGTTGTATGGTTTCCTGCCCAGGTTTTTCTGGGGTTTTTTGTTTAGTTGGTTGGGTTTAGTTTTCCTATCAAAAAACTCCAGGATCTTTGCACTGAGCAGCACAGGACTGAGTCTCTCGAGGTCAGTTAGAAGAAAACATCTTCTACTGCTCTCAGTTTTGTCTTTTCTGGTAGAGAGGATGAGTTGTTGACTGTTGCCTACAAGGAGGAGATGATGTGAATGAGCACTTTCCCAGCCATGGTTTCCTCTCCTGGCAGCCTGGAGGTGTTGGTAGAGGAACCCCAGAGTCCTGCAGTAGCTAGCTGGGTGAGGTTTAGGTCATCCAGCTGCAGTGTGTCTTGAGTATCTGCTCTGAAAAGCACTGTGGCAGCCAGAACACTTGGTTGGGGCTGCTTCAGAGGGGATAGAAACTGTAGGGCTGAAATCCATCCCCAGATGCAAAGCTGGGCCCTAGCCACAGGCTTTGAGGTCCTACAAGTGCATTGCTGGCTCTGACCTGCTGCTGAGAAAAGGAGCAGTTTCTGTAGGCTTGTACCAGAGATCTGCAAGCTGCCTGTCGAGGCAGGTGTGGGGTTGGCATGTGCAGGAGTGTCACTGCATGGGGCTGAGCACAGCCCAGCAGACTTGGCACTTGCTCCTCTACCCTTCCCCTGGGTTTAGGCCCTTCTCCCCCTCCCTGGCCCAGGGCTTTTCCTGTCTCAGTGCTGGGAAGGCTGGTCGATCTGCTGGGCAGAGATAAGAGCATTTGTTGGGCAGCAGCTTCTGTCCTGTTCTTGCTTCCTGCAGTATTTTTAACTTTAGTCCAGCCAGAGCAGAGCCCTGGAGTGTGATGTGGCTGATGGGGCAGGACTCACACTGCCGCGCTTGCAGGGAATCAGGGTGAGAGACACACTTGGCTCTTTTCTCCGACTCCAGGGCATGCTGCCATGGGCTGGGCGCTTCAGCTTCTCTGGCTTCCAGCCTGATTCCTCTGTCTCCTTTCCCCTTTTGTATCTATTCCTCCATCACTGACTCCCCAGTAGATCTACCTGGGTAGGAAGCACAGTGTCAGCCAAGAATGGCCAGACCCTGAATTACATTATTAGGCATGGCAGGGCTTGTCCAGCGGGTGAGTAGGTTGGCTGGTTCCAGTTATTCACTGTACAGAGCCCCTGCTTAGCCGGAACAAGGGGTGTAGGGGCAGGGCAGAGACCCTGGCACAGGGTGGAAGGGCAAAGCAAGGATGGAAGCCCCTTGGCAGAAATGTACAAGGTGGGCAAGAGCAGTGTCCAACAATTATTCTTTTTTCTTTCATTTTCCCCTATATTTTGCTCATAAGCAACAGTGGCAGTGCCAGCCTAGGACAGGGGAAGGGTTCAGCTTGTCTTCAATAACGTGCAGGACCAAGGGGCTTAAGGAGGAAATACAACCTTTCTTTGTGCGATATGCTTACTTGAGCAGGGGAGTAGCCTGAAACAGGAGTTTCCTCCATGTTCATCTTTCAAACAGATTCATTCCTAGAAGACAAAAGAAGACCTTTGCCCTTTAGAATAGACATAGAGGAGCTGCCAGCTTTTATGCTGGGCTGTGTGCAGAAGTGCTGTGTGCTGGTGAGAGCACTGGGTACACCAGTCACAGGCAGGCAGGATTGCTGAGGGTCTGTCCCTCTGGGTGAGGAAGTCTCCATCAGCTCGGTGCACATGGCTCCTACATCAAGTCAATAGACACAAGTCAGTCCTCTACAGCGAGCTGAAGCCTTTGGCTACCAGCTGACAAAAGTTGTTCAACTTGTCCACAGAATGCCCAGGAGTGAGGCACTAGAGATGGCTTCTGTAGAGGGGCAGTGGTACTGCTGAAATCATGTCTCCATGCAGGAGGCTGCCTGCACAGAGCACCAGTTTGGGGGCTGCCTGGAAATGGATTAGAGACGGACATTGGGGGCACCAGGGTTTCAGACTCTGGCCTGGAAGGTGGGATCTCTTCATTAAAGGAGGAACGTTTTGTACTGCAGTGATCTGCACAGTAGGTGAAGAGACTCCTGAACAAATGTAGCTTGGCTCTGGCAGTGAGAAGTGTGGATAGGAAAGTAATCTAATCTAACACCTCCCCTCACACAACCCTCCACAGCCTCATATGCGACCCCTGCACCTCCAGGCACATTCCCATGCCTCTGCCAAGCTTTGCCCTGCTGGGTGAGTCGCTGCAGGGCTGGTGTCCTGCTCCACAGAGCTATCCCAGGCTGCAGCAGGGGCTGCTGGTACAGCATCTCAGACCTCGTGCCTGGCTGGGGATGGAGCCGTGGCATGAACTCCTTATGTGCCGCTGCCTGCGTCCTGCCTGTGCAGTCCTTGCTGCCTTCCCGCATGCCTCCCCCCAGAGAAGGAGGGGGTCCCACTCTTCGTGCTTTGCAATGGTGTTCCCTGCTCCTCCTCACAAACTCTGCTGTGCTTTAACTCTGGCTTGTTCCTGCCATGCAATTTCCCCACCCCCTGCTCCATTCCTAGGCTCTTTGTTTCCTGTCCATCTGTTGGGTTATTATAATATATATTTTTTTGTAAATTTCTGTTTGAACATTTTGTCATTGTGAAAAAAGAAAAACAAAACCTTTTAAACCATATCCATTTTATTAAATGATGATTATTATTATTATTAATGTTTACTACCTGAATTGATCAATGAAATAAATACATTCAAAAAAACCCAACCTCTTTCTATTTAATTTTCAGTTCCCTTGAGCAGTATTGGTGATACGTTATGGGCAGGAGAGAGCAAAACTGACACTGTTTCTCCTTTTGATTCTGTCAGAGAAGGCTTCAGGCAGGGCTTCCTGCATGGGATTCCTGGCCTGTTTGTGTCAGAAGCTAGGTAAGATAATCTTGAAGTTCTTCTATCTTTAAGCTTCCCCTAGGAGTGGTGTCTAAATCAGCAATGGGCATCTGGGCAGGATCCAGTCCTGGGAAATCCAGTTTGTAAGGAGCCAGGGCAGCACTGCTGAGCCTGCGCTGCATGCAGAGCCACAGTGGATCTGGCTCCAGATCAGCTGTGAATAAATGTGAATAACGGTGAATAAATGTAGCACCAAATGCATGAGACAAGGTAAGTTTGCTGAGCAAACTTATCCTGCAGGAAGTAGTCAAGCTGTTCTCAAGTGGAAACTGGGCCCTGCAGGAAAAACTGGGTTCATTTTTTAACCTAAGATCTCTTTCCTGCTCTGCCTGTCAGTAAAACAACTGGAATAATCTGCTTCAACTTTCTAGAAATTTAAAGTTTAATTGTTTTGTTTAGGGCATCAGAGATTTTCCCTGGTTAGGGTGCTGCTTACACCCTAAGTTCTTTTAACATCAGCACATTCAGGATGTTCATCATTTCTGCTCTGTATGATGTGCACAGTACAAGGTAATGGAGAGTTGTGCCCAATGGGGCAACAGTTTCACAATGTAATTTCGTTGTACTTATCCTAAGGAGCATAGCAAATGCTTTGATGGCAGAAAAATATCCATGAAGGTGTGATGGCCTTGAGAAGACAAGATTCTACCTAAATTTAGTTTTGAGACTTGGACTTACCTATTCAAGTGTATTTGTGTAATGCAACTTCTGAATAAAGGATGTGGTCAGTCTTTCTCAGTAACTGCAAGCTGCGCTTACTGAGAGGTGCCGACTCACTTGGCTACCAAAAGAGCAGTCCCTCAGAGCACTATCTTTCCCAATCTGTCATCCTTCCTGTGAATCTGAAAGGTTTGTTTTGATATAGACAGTGAAATGTGAAGAGTTATATTTTAACCCTATACTATCATGAGAGGATGCAGGTGTCTGGAAGATCTTTCTCCGTAGATCAACTATTGACACTAGCGTGGTCACTGGGAGTCCATTTTCTTCCACTGCTAATTAGGAGTAGATTTGTGTCACTGCTTCAAGGGAAGCCTCAGGGTCAGCACACTGCAAAGTGCTAGGTCTCACCACTCTGCCAAATAGTCTTCCTGATGAGATGGAGAAACCAAAAGCCATAGTGCTCGGGGAGTGTGATACAAATCAGTAATGTCACCTTCCAGGTTGAAATGCATTTTGAGTTACTACTTTGCAATTGAGCCTTCGTGATGTTTCTGTTGGACTGAGCCTGTTGGCCCAGAATCACAGTTATCATTACTGTCAGCATCTCTCCTGGCAAATATGTTCTTGTGAGCAGTGTCAGTTCCCATTTCTTGGAATACTTGCTCAATGAAGCCTCAGCTTCCGGTGACATGCAGCAAACTTGCAGGAAGGCTTCATGTGGGAGGTGTCCCTGGGATGAGCCTGACCCTTATCTTGCCAGCCAGCTGCAAGGGGATTATCCGGGGGCTCAGCTATGCAGCTGCAAACACTCTTGCGCTGGCTGGACTGCCTTAAGACCTTGCTCCTGTGTTGTAAAGCCAGCAAGAAAGCAAGGATCGAACTACGCTGGTAAGTCAACAAAGTTACCTTCTGGTAACTTTAATTGTTTATTTTATGTTTATTTTTATTTGCACAGAAAAGCACTGCCTTGTAGGTATGTGTAGTTCTTCTCCTACAGAAGTTAGAGCACCTCATGTGTTTAGTGGTGTAACAACTGCAATACAAAGACCCGTGTCTCCCAGTATGGTCACAGTTCCAGAAGGAGATTATACACCTGCTGGAGCAATGTCTAGCATGGAAAACTCCACTGACCTCCACCCTTGATGGTCAGCAGACTCTGCTGGCCAAGGACTGTTTATCACTTCTTTTCAAAACTGGAAAAACTATTCTTTACTTGTGGTAACAGCAAATTTATTTCTGAATCTTCTTTTGCAGCTTACATGAACAAAGCTTTGCTTATGGTTGTGATTCAGAGCTGTGATAAGGCAGGAGCAGTTTCATATTCTAATTTTTGATTCCTTCACATAAATTTTCTTCACTACCCTGGTAATGCGCCTCCAGTAATGCTGAAAATACAAGCAGCTCTTGTACACTTATGAGGACTAGTGAAAATAAATTTGATGGCTGCAGCTAAGCCTCCCAGTAGCCATCTGTTCATATCCCTCCTCAAATCCAGGGTTGGAAGACCCGGAACATTCCTTCTCCTGTAATAAGAGACCAAGAATTTGCATGCCTCTTTTAACTCTGTTCTTTTCAGAGCTCTCGCATCTCCTGTGAAGGACAGTAAATCCATCCAACTTTAGAAACTCATTCTCAGAACAAGCCAACAAAAGAGCTGGGCTGTGGTGTCAGTCCCAGAGTGTGTGGTGTCTACTTGCCTGGTCTCCACCTCATCCAGTCTCACCAGGGGAGTGTTTGCAGGTGAAGATGAACAGTGGAATTCTCTTGTTGCCCCTTCTCGGCTTCCTCCCACTTGTGATACCTACATGCCCTGAGCCATGCAAGTGTACCACAAACATTATCGACTGCACATCAAAAGGCCTAACTGTAGCAAAACTACCGGTTGACTTCCGCCCTTCAGCTGAAATTATCCACCTTGGTTACAACAAGCTCACCTCTATTCCCAATGGGCTCTTTGACAACCTAAAGAGCCTTCAGGTCGTCTACCTGCAGGGCAACCCTTGGGAGTGCAACTGTGACATCCTCTACTTGCGCTCCTGGCTCCAGTGGCAGCAGAACCGGACCTTATACAGGGATGTGAGATGCAGCTCCCCAGCTCACCTGCAGGACCGGATCATTGCCTATCTGACAGAAGACGAGATCATCTCCACATGTCAGTACTGGTACTGCATCCTGGCTCTCCTCTCTCAGCTCTGTCTTTTCATCCTCCTTTTCCTCCAGGGTATCTTGATTATCTTCATCATTGTCTACCTTCAGAAATTTCGGAGAATGACTGCTGAAGCCCAGAGCACCACCCAAGATCTACACCAGCATGTAGACACATGGGCATCTTCTTCGAGAAGCCCTTACAATAGTGATTAACATCACAAGACTGAAGACCCTCCTCCCCTTCTGGTGATGCTGTGCCAAGGTCATATGGTTTGTGATATCCAGAGGGGGTGATTTGGTGCAGCATCTGATCCTGACTGCCGTCCAAAACAGAACTTGAACTGAACAGACGCTGTATTTTCAATGACATGATCTCGTGTTTTTTACTGCTTTAAATTCTTTAGCATGATCTTTATTGCTTTGATGATCTGGGGGTGGTTCTGGTTTGATAGACTAAGGAAATCAACTGCAGCAACCAGAACTGACTCAAATTGCTCATAAGCTTGTAGGGCCTATGGTGTTGGATCCCTCCTGTGCTTGAGTATTTCAGCCTTATTTTCACAATGCTTCTGGTTGCATTTGGTCATGTGAGGACAGAGGTGGACAGTGTACAGTTAAGGACTAGGACAATGGAGAAATACAGTTTCCTTGGTGCTACCACAGATTGCCTTAGTAAACTTTGGGGAACCGACCGAGTCCTCTCCTGCCTCAGTTTCCCATCAGCAAAAGGGAAAATACATTTCTTCTTGCTTGATGCATCTTTCCCAATGCTCTTCTAGGGGACGGAGGGATTGTTTAGAAGCTGTTTTCCCCTATCTTCATTCCTTTTAATCTACGTACAGTTTCTATACTGATTTCAACATACACTGTGTCAGACTGGGGCCCTGAATGTTTGTGAGACATTCACCCTGGAGCCAAGCGTTGTTGAACCTGGAGGCTCTTTCTGGTTGTGTTTATATGGCTCCTGCCGCAGGAGATGTGGTCTCTGTCAGAGACTCAAACTGCACAACCCGCCTACTGCTGGTTACGTTGTCCCTCTATTTCTGGAATGAAGCAAAATTGAAATAAAATAATGACGCATGATGATGTAAATGGCTTATTTTTTGCATTCTACACTGGGAACCTCACCCTCCGTTGCACACCTGGCAGTTTCTTACACTCCCTTACACTGATCTGTGCCAAGCAGAGCACATACCGAAGGCAGGCGGAGGTGTTACTGGAAGTGCACCACAGGGTTAAACTGTGACAGCTTCTGGCTTTCGCCACGGGCAGGTCCGAATGTGGAGTTTCTTCTAGTTCCGAAGCTGCTGCTTATTGTATGTGACTGTCTGTGAAGGCAGGGGTGATGCCTGCTGCAAACC